TTTATTTATTATTTATTTATATGTGGTGCTGAGGATGAAACCTGGTGCCTCACACATGCTAGGAAGTTGTCTGCCACTGAGCCAAAACCCCAGACTTATCTTTATGTTTCTATTAGTGTGTGAATTTCATGCATTAAGAGTGGGGTTCACTTTGACATATTCACAAATGCCTACAATATTGTTCCATTCAATCCTCAATAGATCCCCTTTCACTCCCTTCATCCTCCCCTGATCTCCTAGCTCTGTTGTTTTTGTCTTCCTTTTATTTGTTTATTAATTTTAGCTGATACTTTACATTTACACATTGAAGTAGAATTCATTTTAATATATTTATAGATGCACAGAACATACTTTTGTCGATTTTGTTTTGAAGTTCCTTCCTTTCCTAACCCTCTTCTCCTCCCATTGACCACATTTCTGAACTCCACTGTTCTTCCTCTTATTTGCTAAGATCCCTTTTTATTTTATTAATTTGTTTTTTTTTAACTTCCAAATATGAAAGAAAACATCTGACTCTTGACTTTTTGAGTCTGGCTTATTTTGCTTGGCATGATGTTCTCAGGTTCCATATATTTACCAGCAAATGACACAATGTCATATTTCTTTATGGCTGAGTAAAACTCCATTGTGTACGTACATTACATTTTATTTCTTCACTCATTCATTGGCAGATACCCAGGCTGGTTCTATAACTTGTCTACTATGAATTTTGCTGCTATATACATCTGTAAATATATATGACTGTAGAATCCTAATTTAAAATTTTTTGCACAACTTCCAAGAAGTGGAATAGGTGAATGATATGTTGGTTTCAGTCCTGGCTTTTTTAGAAATCTCCATCTGCTTTTCAATGTATTTTGCTTATTTGCAGTCCCACCACCAATGGATGAGAGTACATTTTCCCCCACTTCCTTGCCAGCAATTATTGGTATTTTTATTTTACTTTTATTTTATTTTTATTCTTGGTGACATTCTTCACATTTATAGAAAATATGTTTTAAAATACATATAGAATAATAAAAGCCCCAGAATGGATGCAACACTAAACATTAAGAGTGATGCTTGAGAGATCACAATGCCTGATGTAAAATTATATTATAGAGCTATAGAAACAAAATACCATGTTATTGTCATCAACACAGAAATGAAAACCAATGGATTTGAATAGAAGACACAGAGAAAAATCCTCATAAATATAGTGCTCTAATAAAGAAGGAAGGCACCAACATCTTATGTTGGTTGCAAAACTGGATATCTATATGTAGAAGAATGAAACTAGATCCCTGCCCTTCTCACTGCACAAAAGTAAATTTGATGTGAATCAAAGAGCTAGGAACTGACTCGGAAAAACTTGAACTGCTAGAAAAAAACATAGGGTCAACATTCCAATATATTCAAGCTTGCATTGACTGCCTTAATAAGAATTCTAAAGCTCAAGAATTAAAACCAAGAATCACTGAGATGGCCTCAAATTAAACAAACAAACAAAACAAACAAACAAA